AAACAAACAAAAGAACACAGATGGCTGGAGATGCGTCCACGTTTGTAGAATGCTTACCTAGTATGTTTGATGCTCTGGGTTCAAATCTCATCACTGAATAAAGCATTTCTGTCAGCTTCTGGCCTGTAACTCAGGAGGTGGAGGGAAAAGGATAAAAACTTTGAGGTGGTGTCTACAAGATGGCCCAGTGGGTGAAGGCATTTACTGTGCAAGCCTGGTGACTTCAGTTCAATTCCCAGGGCCCACACGAATGTGGAAAGTGAGAACTGCCTCCACGGAGTTCTCCTCTGACCTCACACACACCCATCATGGCACATGTGCACTCATATCCACATCACATATACACATACATAATAATCAGAAACAGATAAGTAATTTTTAAAAGCCATCAAGATGTCTCCATCTCCAAAGTTGATTGAGTTTGATCCTGGAACCCACATGGTGGAAGGAGAAAATCCAGTTCTACAAGTTCCCCTCTGACCTCCACACCTTTGGTGTGCCATGCATGGCTACACACACACACACACACACACACACACACACACACACACAGTAAAAAATTTTTTCAATTAAAAATGTTCTAGTTTCATCCTTGGCTACATAATAGGTTCAAGGCCAACCTGTGCTCCTCAAGCCTGTTTCAAAAGAGAGCAGCAAGTATGCTGGCATGCGCCTTTAATACCAGCACTCAAAAGGCAGAAGAGGGTGGATGCCTGTGAGTTCAAGGCCAGCCTTCTACACACACCACGTTCCAGGCCAGCTAGGGCGTCATCGTGAGACCCTATCTAAAATGACAAAATAACAAAAAGCTCAGTTGAACAATACAAAAATCCACTCAAAACTAACAATTGGAAACAGTGTGAAGAAGAGATGATAATGACCCCCACGCAGACCAAGGATGTGTACCAATTCATGCCTGCATTCAGTGCTTAGCTCCTGCTGTCTCCACTACACACCAAGAAAGGTTGAAGGGGAGCCAAAATGATACGGAGTCAAGGTGCAGGGGGAGCACTGAAAAGATCTACATGACTGTCTGTTCAACCTGTTCCTCCAAAGATAAAACCTGAATCCCAAGAGGTCCCTTCAAAAGAAAGAGAAGGTACCCAAAGAGAGAGGGAAAAGCTGATGCTGGCAAGGATGAGTAGAACATGGAGGTGCCAGGGCTTGAGAATGCAGCTTAGCTGGTAGGTGCTTGATTGCCTAGTGTTCACAAGGCACTGGGTTTGAGTCTAAGTTTGAATTCAATATTAGGTGATGCTCGGGAATAATCCCTCTGTACCCTGTGAAGATATGTTGCTCTCATTGTTAATAAAATGTTGATTGGCCTATGATGAGGCAGACTTTTCAGGGCAGAGAGAATGCTGGGGAGAAGAAGGTCAGGGTCTGAGGAGCCGCCATGGGATGCAGAGCGAGCAGGACAGGAAGTATGTACGTGAGGTAAACACATCCTCTGGGCGACACATACATTCATAGAAATGGGTTAAGCTAGCTAAGGATAAACTGAGCTACCGACTGAGAATTTATAATTAATAATAAGTCTCTGTGTGGTTAATTGGGGAGCAGCTGGCAGGACGGAACTGATCGGTGGTCTAGACGGAAAACTCTGCCTACAAGATGAGGTCACACTTGAACTCCTGATCCTCCTTATTTCCAGAGTGCCAAAATAGCGGGTGTGCACCACACTGTCCCATAGAAGCTGGATTTACCGTTAGTGTTTCAAGAATCCAAGAATAAGAATATAGAAATGTAGGGGCTGGAGAGATGGCTCAGAGGTTAAGAGCATTGCCTGCTCTTCTAAAGGTCCTGAGTTCAATTCCCAGCAACCACATGGTGGCTCACAACCATCTGTAAAGAGGTCTGGTGCCCTCTTCTGGCCTGTAGGCACACACACACAGACAGAATATTGTATACATAATAAATAAAAAAAAAGAATATAGAAATGTAGATTCCAGAAATAAGACTGTCGAAATAAAGAAATATAAAGTTGTCAGCCTAGGAGAATGAGAGCTGACGGTCAGCAGCTGTCTCAGCAGTTTAAGGATTAACTATTAACCGTGGGTTACTCCGCTTTACAACCCATAGTTCTATTTGCAAGGCTGAAGTGGCCCTCTGCAAACTTAGGGTCGCTCTGCAAACCGAGGATCAGCTTTTAGATACTCCCCCGCCCCCAGCCACTCATGACCAGAAATTGATGTGAGCTTTTAAATTATGAGTTAGCTTTTAAATTCTGGGATGTACGTGACTTTTGACTTCTGGGTTTTATATTGTCCCCTACCCTTCCCTGCTTTGTGAAACTGGCAGTCAGGGGAGGTGCAGAGCCTTGGTAAACACTATCAAGGAATGACAGGAAAAGCAATGGGCTAAATATAAACACTAATTTAAATGAAAAACTCTGTTAATGGAAATTGCAAAGAAGGGTAATTTGTATCTGAGTTTTACCTTGAGATTGTAAAAATTCTTTTGTTATTACCCAATGCTTGCTATAAAAGGAGGAGTTCAAAAACCAGCCTTTGCCACAGCCTTACCAATCCATCTCTGACTGTAGTCTCAGCTAGCTGATAAGCTTTTTGTGCTCCATGGAGATTTGTCTTTTTTATTTTTTTTTATTTTATTTTTTATTTATTTTTTTATTTTTTTTGGTTTTTCGAGACAGGGTTTCTCTGTGGTTTTTTAAGATTTATTTATTATGTATACAGTAGTCTGTCTGCATGTACGCCTGCGGGCCAGAAGAGGGCACCAGATCTCATTACAGATGGTTGTGAGCCACCGTGTGGTTGCTGGGAATTGAACTCAGGACCACTAGAAGCCAGTGCTCTTATCCTCTGAGCCATCTCGCCAGCACCTGTTTTTTAATTTTTTTCCTGGAATAAAGTTTGCTTCTGGTTTAGTAGATGTTGGTGTTCTGTCCTCATCTTTGTGTGACCCCCGTGAACCCAACAGTGTTCTTTTTTTTTAATCTTAAATTTATGTGAATGTGTGCATGCCATCTGTGTTACAGTGCCAGCTGGAGCCAGAAAAGGGGATTGAATTCCCGCAGGCTGAAGTCACAGGCAGTTGTGGGTCGCTCAACAGGAAGCCGGGCAAACACTCAGGTCTTTTGGAAGAGTAACAAGAGTTCCTAACCTTGGAGCCCTCTCTCCAGCCTCTTGCTGTCGCATTCATCAGTCCTGACATCCTTAAGCCTTAAAGTTTGGCCTCAAGGAGGTGAAGGATATGCTTCTATCGCGAATTGTGGAGATAGCTTCAAGAGTTGGTACTTGTAAATTCAGGACGTTGTATATATTATATATGTACAGCTGTTTGTATGTTTATTATAATGTCAAAAAAATATTTTTTTCTTTATTATCAGTGCTAGGGATAGCATCCTGTGCCTTGCCCAAGCTAGGCAAGTACTGCTAGGCTAGAAGTATGCTGTTATAGCCCTAGTACTAACCACTGTACTACACTTCCCTGGCAGGAAAAAATTAAAAACTACAATAAAACCCATCTAAGAGTTGCGGAGCTGGTTCAGTGGGTGATGCACAGGCATGTGCAAGGGTGAAGGCCTAAGTTTGACTCCTAGAACACATATAAACATTGGGTGTGGTGTGCCTGGAACCTAAGCACCTGGGGAGGTGGAGACAACAGATCCCAGGGGCCTACTGCCCAGCCAGTCTAGCTGAAACAGCAAGCTTGGTAAGATTCTTTGTCTCAAAAAATAAAGAAGATCTTTATTTATGTGGCCTTTTGTTTACTTTTCTAGAAGATTGACCTTCTAGAAAGGTTCTTCTTCCTACATACACCTGGAACCCTTCCTCCAGCCTGGCGCTGATGGCTGACAATCAGCTCCTTCCCTGGCACGAGTGGTCGCCCACACCTGGGAACAACTCAAATATCTCCTTCAGTGACCATCCATTTTGGGCTTAGAGGGTACTGGAAGCAAAATCAATCTCTGCCTCAGCCCTCCAAAGGACTGGACACACAGGGATCCTAAGGCTGCGTGGCTGGCCACTGTGTCCTTGTGCCTGAGGCTCTAGACCCCCCCCCCCCCCACCTCCTCTAGAGACACTGTATCTGGTATACTCCAGAAAGAGCATAAAGCAACTGTGCCCATTGTTCTTTTGCGACTGAGCAGAGTTTCTACAAAAACTTCACAGAGAGAGAGAAAGAGAGAAAGAGAGAGAGAGAGAGAGAGAGAGAGAGAGAGAGAGAACACGTTTTCATGTGAACTCTCAAGTGCCACCCTGAACCCAGCTGCTGGGAGGACCCTACAGATCTTCTTTGTTTTCCCTTCAGGCTCACCTTTGGGTTGGGCATATGATGGATATAAGGGTCCATTACTTCTTTGAGGGAGGCATCAATGCTTTCAATTTCTTCCTTTCTGAGGAAGTAGCAAGAGAGAGGCCGGCCCCTCTGAAGACTGTGAGTGCTTGGTGAGTAAAGGCAACTCAGTTGGTCACTATGAACCATTGTCCTGAGAACCTCTATGAACAATAATATGTGCACTGACCCTCCCTTGCTTGCTGGCTGTGGGCTGAAAAATCAGAACTAGGTCTCTCCTACATGAGTTCTGTTCACAACCTACCCCGCCACCCTTGGGCTGGCAGAACCCCAGTTTTTCCTTCTCTAATCATTATCACTTAACAATTCACTGCCAGTTGAAACCACTTGCCCTGCACAAGAACCATAATACAGCTTAAAGTAAAATAAAACATGATAGAGAACAACTGGGGAGAACATTCTGACTTCTGCCTGGTCTCACGGACTTCACAAAGGAGAGTGAACCCACACCCATACAGCACACACACACACACACATGCACGTGCAAACACACATGATTTCAGGAATACACACATATATCATACACAACATACTCACATACTGATATATTTCACACACACCTATATACCACACACACAGACACACACATACATTACACCCACACCCCAAATCAAAAAGCTCACAACCCATCTCAGCTGATGACCATCCTTTCCCCACCCCCATATTCCAAACTCACTCACCCATATTCCTCATGTTCCCAATGGCTGCTGGTGTCACCAGGATGGGAGATATGCCTGAAGGGAGTGGCTGGTCAGTCACACTCCTGAAGAAACACTGAGTATGAACTTTGACGGAGGTTGATCAGGTGAAAATTTGATTTGCAAAGAACATACCATGAATGACTGGTTATCTCTCCTCTGCCTAATCCCAGGGCACTATACTAAAGGGAGCACTGATGGGCGACTGTAATAGGAGGAACACACACGCAAGAGAACAACCTTATCAGTTCACTAACAGTCAAGATATTGAAAGGGTCATACAGTTCTCTTTTATAATAAACAGAATTTCACAGCAAATGAGAAACTACAGTTTCCTTGGGCACTAGAGCCTAGGAAGAACAATTCATTTTGTTATTGTCGTTACACAAACAGGCAGTAGGGACTACAACAATACCCCTTATCCCAACCCACCCCACTTACCTTTCTGACACAGGCTGTAAAGCCCACGAGTCCCAAGCTGGACTTGTTTGTATTCACTGTGCAGCCAAGGATGGCCTTGAACTAGTTTTGTTTTGTTTTGCTTGTTTTTCAAGACAAGGTTTTTCTGTGTAGCCCTGGCTGTCCTGGAACTCACTCTGTAGACCAGGCTGACCTCAAACCCACAAAAATCTACCTGCCTCTGCCTCCCGAATGCTGGGGTTAAAGGCATGTGCCACCACTGTCCAGTGTTCTTGAACTCTTGACTTTTCTGCCCCCATTATAATGTCACCCTCGACCACACTAAGAATACAAAATCACTCTGAGCTGCAGGAATCTCTAAATAATGACGACAGTGAGATGCCTCCTCAAGTAAAGGGGCTTGGCTGCCAAACCTAACAAACTGGGTTTGATACCTGGTCCCACATGGTGGAAGGACAGAACTGACTTCCTCAAGTTGTCTTCTGACCTCCACATAGCTATGGTGAGGACTGGGACACATTCAGTATCTAGATGTCTTACCCAGCCATCAGTTCTTCATCATGCTGTGTGGTCACCTTCAGGTAACTTCCACTGGAGTGACCGACTAAAGCGTCGCAGGGCAGAGTAGAGGGTTGAGCACAGAACCAGAGCTCCCCAGAGACCACATCCCTGTACTGGCAGGTGGGCCCTTGGGCTCCAGTTGACTGAGGGTCCACGTTGCAGATCACAGCCTCCTGAGTGCCATTCCTGCCTTGAAAATACCCCCTAAAGTCAACGGTGGCCCGTTTTCCTTTCCAGACCCTCTGTAGGACCCCGACTGCCTCACTGGAGTGGATCAGCCTCACTTGTACCTGGGCCGGTCCAGCCCAGAGCAGGGGGAAGGACAAGAGGTATGTGCCATTCTCCAGATCCTTCACCTCCCCTGGGACTCCTGCTTTCAACTCCTGCCCCAACAGCTGTGCCCGAAACAGATCTCCACCATGAGTCTTGGGCCTACCCTTGTGGTCCCTAGCCACAAGAATGGCCTCTAGATTACTTCCCAGAGTATAGGTGGCCTGAGCAGGACCCTTCAAGTGGTAGGTGGAGGTTTGGGGACTGGTAGAAGCCAAAAAGTCATCCTTGTCGCCACCAGTTGGAGGCCAGTACAGAAAGCTGGTCAGGTTGGTGAATTCTTGAGGGAGAGAGTTCCAGTTGTTGGGCTCAGAGGCATGTTTAGAGGCACGATGGGGTAGTGGGATCCAACGGTTCATGGGCTCAGGCCAAGACATCATGAGATAGAACACCTGTGGGAAAAGAAAGAGGGATATGCCAGTGTGTTGTGTGTGCCATATTTTCTTCCTGGAAGGAGGTATTACAGTTGGCCAAGTAGCACCCAGCAGTCCTATCTACCTATGTTGTTCTATTTGTCATTCATAAGCCTGGCATTTGGGTCACCATGACCATTATTTGAAAGAAACAGTTCAGTACTGGGTTGATACTGTTGCTCGAATTTCTGGGGAGTCCTACTGGACTCACCATATGTTACCAGGGAAATTGAAATTGGGCCCCACTCTGGAATAATTCTTCTTCTTCTTCTCCTTCTCCTTCTCTTCCTCCTCCTTCTTCCTAATCCTCCTCCTCCTCTTCTTCTTCCTTCCTTTTTTCCCTCTTCCTCCTACTTCTTTAGACTTATATGCATGAGTGTTTTGCTTGCATGAATACATGTATACCACATGCATCCTTGGCGCCCAAGAACAGAAGAGGGCATTGGATCACCTGGAACTAGAGTTACAAAAGGCTGTAAGCTGTCATATGGGTGCTGGGAGCCGAACCCCGATACTCTTTCTATAACAGACAGTGTTCTTAACCACTGAGCCACCTCTCTAGCTACAAATGCCTCTTAGTTTTTTTCTTTTTAAACAGTCTCTCTCTCTCTCTCTCTCTCTCTCTCTCTCTCTCTGTGTGTGTGTGTGTGTGTGTGTGTGTGTACACAGACAAACTATTGTACTTGCACACTATGGCCTGTATGTGAAGGTCAGAGGACAATTTGTAGGGTCATAGCTCTCCTTCTACCATTTCCAGGATATCAAATTCAGGCCATGACAACTAGCTTCCTTACCTGCTGAGCCATTTCGCTATTCCCAGTGTTGGCATTATCTGATGTGCTGGAGAACAGTAGCACTGTTGCTTACAGACTCTGTAACTCAAGCACTCAGGATCTCACGGTGTACACTGCGCTTGGGAGGCAGAGTTAGGAGGAGCTCAGCCTGGTCTACAAAGCAAGCTCCAGGACAGCCAGAGCTGTTACACAGAAAAACCCTGTCTTGGAAAAAAAGAGAAAGAAACAAGGTTTATCTGAGTTTCTCTGACTGTCCTAAGACTCACTTTGTAGACGAGGTTGACCTCAAACTCAGAGATCAGCCAACCCACATCTTCTTAGTGCTGTAATTAAAAGTGTATGCCAGCATACACAGTACAGTAATTTTTCAATAAAAGAGAATTTAAATAACCAAGAAATCTATGACTAGATCCTCTACTGAATTATTAAGAAAACAAATAAAATCACTTTGGAATTGCTCTATGTATTCATAAAAATGATTTAAGTGACAATTGATAAGTAACAATATTGGTAAGAATAGAAAGCAACCGTATCTCTCAAGTTATATTAATGAAAGTTGGATAGCTATTATTTTCATCTTTTAATGTATGTGTATATTAGGACAAAGCAGTTCATCTCATAGGTAAATACTCAGTGCTAAGGTGTGGTATTCACTAAGATACATGGGATAGAAAGCTTACTGTTAATTGGGCAGTGGGAGGCAGAGGCAGGCAGATCTCTGTGAGTTTGTGGCTAGCCTGATCTATGGAGTGAGTTTGTGGCTAGCCTGATCTATGGAGTGAGTTCCAGGACAGCCAGGGATATACAGAGAAACCCCGTCTCAAAGAAAAGAAAGTTCACAGTAGCAGCATTGAAGACCCCTCCTGACTGTATCTCAGTTAATAGAGCGACTGTTTAATATGCACAAAGTCCTGAATTCTACTTCCTGGTGTGGTGGTGCCTGCTGCAATGGAATCCCCAGGGAGAAGAATTCAGAAGGGTGAGAAGTTCAAGGTCAGTGGTAGAGGTCTGGTATATGTGAGGCTCTGGATTCCAAACTTAATGCTGCCAAACGTTAATGATGTGGGGGGGGGGGGGAGTTGTTGAAGTTGTTCTTATATAACTTGCTATATAACAAGTTTGAGACAAGCCTGAGAAACATGAAGCTCTTATCTCAAAAAAGGGGGGGGGGGAAATCCCCAAACTGAAAGTAACACAAATTTCTTTCTTTTAATTTTCCTGCTTTCCTTTTCTAGTTTTCTTTTTCTTCCTTCCTTTCTTTTTTCAAATTTTCTTGTTTTTGTTTTTCTTTCTTTGTCTTGTAAGACAGTCTCTCTGCACAGTCCTGGCTGTCCTGGAACTCACTATGTAGTTCAAGATAACCACAAAAATCAGAGCTCCACCTGCCTCTACCTTCTGAATACTAGGACTAAAGATGTGTTCTTCTATAACAAATTTCTACCAATAATACAGTGGTTAAGTGAATCATGGTATATCCATAAACTGGATTGAGGTCATGAGACAAAATTAACAAATAACAACTTCACATAGTAACATAGATGCAAAATGTATAAACCTCATAAAACATGGTACTCATAAAAACATGGTTTCTTATTACTCTTCAAAATTAGCAATACTATTATAAGTCGAAATGCTGGATACCTTGGTAAAAGAGAGAAATTCAAATCTGTTGATGATAGTAATTTTCTTAATTTTTATTTTTCTTTCCTCTTCCATCTCTTTTTTTATTAAAAATTTATTTCATCTATTTATTTATGTGCATGTATGTGGCGGCACACATTTCATGGCACATATGTGGAGCTCTGGGGACAATGTTAGAGAGCCATTTCCCTCCTTCCGCCATGTGGGTCTCAAGAGACTGAACTCAGGCCACCAGGCTTGGCAGCAAACACCTTTACCCCGAACCACCTCACCAGCCCTAAGATTTTTTTATTTTATTTTGTTTTTAGAAAAGGCTCACTATGTAACATTGCCTGACATGAGACTTATTTTCTAGACCAAGCTGGTCTCAAACTCAGAGATTCATTTGCCTCTGTCTCCCAAGTGTTAGGATTAAAGGCATGTGTCGCTATGCCCAATTCTCTAATGTTTTTGTTAAGATTTATTTTTATTATGTGTTCGGGTGCGTTCTGCCACATGTGTGAAGGTGTCTATGGAGGTCAAAATTGGGTGTCAGATCCCTTGGAACTGGAGTTATAGTCATTGTGAGCCGGAAAACATGACCGCTGGTAACGAACTCAAGTCCTCTGGAAGAGCAGCAAGTATTTAAACCTCTGAGCTTCCATTCCCTCCTATTACTCTGTTATGTGTCCCCCTCCACTTCCAGTTGATCCTCCTTCTACTTTTCTCTGCGTGTGTGTGTGTGTGTGTGTGTGCGCGCGCGCGCGCGCGTGCCTCTGTGTGTCTGAATTAGTTTAATTAAGGTGAATAACAAGCGCATAGGCAAATTTCCCAGAGGCTCCACCACTGAAGGAAATCTCTCCTCACAGCTTCCCTTAACAGCCTGTAGATTCAGGGAGAGGAAAGCTCTTCTGAGCTGTGCTCCAGTGACTACACTCATGAGTGCTTCTCCTCCTACCTTGGGCGTTTTTGCTACAGATCTTAGGAACTGGCCTAGGGCTTGTTCCATAGGTCAGCCTCCAACTTAACTCCTTTTAGTATGTGTAAAGGTTGAGGGGATGGCAAAGAAGTTGACATACACCTACAGAATGGAAAAAGATCTTCACTAACCTCACATCAGACATTGGACTGATCTCCAAAATATATAAAGAACTAAAGAAACTAGACATCAAACTACCAAATAATACAATCAAAGAGTGGGGTGCAAGCCAGGTGGTGGTGGTGCACGCCTTTAATCCCAGCACTCGGGAGGCAGAGGCAGGCAGATCTCTGTGAGTTTGAGGCCAGCCTGGTCTACAAGAGCTAGTTCCAGGACAGGAACCAAAAGCTATGGAGAAACCCTGTCTCGAAAATCCAAAAAAAAGAAAAAAAAAGTGGGGTGCAGATCTAAACAGAAAATTCTCAACAGGAATCTCAAATGGCCAAAAGATACTTAAGGAGTTGTTCAACATCCTTAGCTATAAGGGAAATGCAAAAAATGACTCTGACCCAGGCGGCCCGGGTTCGACTCCCGGTGTGGGAACCAAAAAAAAAAAAAAAATGACTCTGAGATACCATCTTACACCAGTCAGAATGGCTAAGACCAAAACCACCAATGATAGCTTATGCTGGAGAGGATGCAGAGTTAAGAGGAACACTTCTCCATTGCTGGTGGAAGTGCAAACTTGTACAACCACTCTGGAAGTCAGTATGATGGTTTCTCAGAAAATTGGGAATCAATCTACCTCAAGACTCAGCAATACCACTCTTGGGCTTATACTCAAAAGATGCATACTTATTCCACAAGGACATTTTTGCAACTATGTTCATAGCAGCATTATTTGTAAAAGTCAGAACCTGAAAGCAATCTAGGTGCCCCTCAATTGAAGAATGGATAGAGAAAATGTGGTACATTTACACAATGGAGTGCTACTCAGTGGTAAAAACAAAAACAAAAACAAAAACAATGACATCTTGAAATTTATATGCAAATGGATGGAACTAGAAAAAAACCATCCTGAGTGAGGTAACCCAAACCCAGAAAGACAAACATGGTATGTACTCACTCATGAGTAAATAGTAAATGTAAAACAAAGGATAACCAGCCTATAGTCCATGACCCCAGAGAAGCTAGGTTACAAAGAACTCTATGAGAGACATTCATGGATCCCCCTGGGAATAAAAATTAAACAAGATCTCCTGAGATAATTGGGAGGAGGGAGGGAGAAGGGAGGACAGAAGAAGAAGAAGGGGAGGAGAGGAGGAGAGAAGTGAAGAGAGGGGGAGAACATGAGGGAATGGGATGAACAAGAAGGGGGAAGGACAGAAAGGACAAGCAAGGAAAGAGATAACTTGATTGAGGGAGCGATTATGGGGCTAGCGAGACACCTGGCACTAGAAAATTCCCAGAAATCTACAAGAATGACCCCAGCTAAGACCCTAAGCAATAGTGGACAAGGTGCCTTAACTGGCCTTCCCCTGTAATCAGACTGATAACTACCTTAATTGTTGTCATAGAACTTTCATCCAGCAACTGATGGAAGAGATCCACAGAGATCCACAGCTAAGCATTGGGTAGATCTTCCAGAGACCAGTCCAAGAGAGGGAGGAGTGATAATATGAGCAAAGGGGTCATGGCCATAATGGGGATACCCACAGCAACAGCTGACCTGAGCTTGTGAGATCTCACTGACTCTGGATTGATAGCGGTTGAACCTGCTGAGTGTGGGGGACAGTTGTGTGGCTTGGGCAGTTTGTGGGGCCACTGGCAGTGGGACCAACCAGGATTTATCCGTAGTGCTTGATCTGGCATCTTGGAGCCCATTCTTTTTGGAGGAAGACCTTGCTCAGCCTAGATATAGGGGGAAGGGTCTCGGTTCTGCCACAAAGTGATGTGTCAGATTTTGTTGACTGCCCATGGGAAGACTTACCCTCTTTGAGGAGTGGCTAGGGGGCTGTGTGGTGGTGGCGGGGGGGGGGGGGGGGCAAAAGGAGGGGAGGAAGTGGAAACTGGGATAGGTATGTAAAATGAGAAAAGATTCTTTTTTTTTAAATCAATTTTAAAAAGAGAAAAAGAAAAAAAAGAAGCCTGCACTTTCACACAACACAAAGTTGCTACGAAAGTGAAACCAGAAATCAACATCTTTTGAAAGAAGGAATTCATCTTTTTAAAATCTCTTTCACTCTTTCATTGTTCCCAGAATCATGTCCGATTTGTCTTCTAATATTTTAAACCATTCATTTTCTAGGAAAGGTTAGAAATCTACATTTTCATGCAAAAAGGTCTTGCTGCTTAAAATACCAACAACACCCCATGAGTTAAAATTTCAGTTTTGACAGACAGACAGGAAGAGCCTCTTCCCAGTCTTGACTTTTTCTTGTACACAGCTTCAAAGAGGAAACACTGGGTCATGCTTCTTGCTTTTGCTCCAGAAAGGGTTTAATTTTTTTCTTATTTACGGTGTCAGTTTCATACACATATACAATGCATATGAACCATATTCACCCCCGTTCTTGTCACTCATTCTATCACTCTCACTGACCCCTTTACTCACCCAGTCCTGTGTGTGTGTGTGTGTGTGTACAGGACCTTTTCTGTTCCCTGACTTTATTTCCCTCCAGGCTAAAAACAGAAGCAGACACCAAAAGACTTTGTTCTCTTAAACTGGGACAGAGAGAACAACTTCTAAAGTCAAGAGAATTGAGAACTCGAATTGCTGATGTGGAACAGGGCCATGATCGTCTCCATCAGAGCCACTGTGATGACAGGCAAGCCAGCCTCAACAAGGGCCAGTCAGTCTCTAGACTTTTGCCTGTGGAAGAACGGCTGGGGGAGGATCATTAGATCCTCCCCTGGAATTCAGCTGCCCCCACCCTGAACCTTTTCCAGTTCTCTGCAGTTCTGCTCCAGCTTCTCACGATGTCTGGAGGTGCTGGAACATGCAGAAGGTGGCAGCTGGAGAGGGACAACTCCATTTATGCAGCTATAGGGAAGTTGTTTGTGGAGCCCATTTGTTGATGTGGTTGTTTGGAGATTGTGTGCTCCTTAAGTAAGCCCAATAAACCCCCTTATTAAGCTATCTAGACTTGGGTAGAATTGTTCTTTTGTCTGTTGGCACTGCCCTACCTAGGGGGAGCAAACATCTGGTCATTTCTTCCCAACCAAAGTCCATAGACTCACTCCTATTTTTTCTCCTTGGGGACTTCCTAAAAACTTCTGACTTTAGATTCCCTGATGACACCAACACACAGCTGCTCACACTGCTTCTTAGATGATGCTCTCCCCTGCAGCTGATGTTCCCAGATGTCTCTCAGGGGTGAGAGGAGAAAGAATGAGTGCTTCCCTCAGTTCACTCTCCAATGTTAAGGCATTTAACCAATCCAAACAAAGAGAAGCAGTAATGATGCCAATAAGAGGCAAGGAAAGTACTCACCAAAATCAGAACGATTAACCCCACGGTCAGGATCTTGTAGCCCTTCAGTTGCCCCATGAATAGATCCACACAGCCTAGACTCTTGTTGCATTATAACTACAAATCCAGGTATCTCACACAGCATCAGAAGTTTAAGAGGCCCTCCCATCACAAAGGAGCTGATTCACTGCATAGACTTCCAGTGTTCTTGAAAACTGTCACCTGACATATGTACACACTGTCAGGTCTAGAGGGAAAAGGCAACGGCAGGAGCATCGGCGACAGCTGCAGAGGCTGAGCAGGCTGGCCGGCTGAACTAGACACTGAGGCAGAATTCAGGTGGAAAAACAGGAACTTTACTCACATACGTGATTCTGTGTGGGCAGATTGCAGGCTCACAGTGAACCACCAGGAAGGTGTGCCCAATAGAATGTCCTTTTCCCATAGACACCCTCAGGGAGCAAAGGGAAGACCTAAGTTTTACCTTTCTCCCTGGGGGCTCTGGCTTAGCCATAAGAAGCAGGGAAGGAACAGGGAGTCTGTTTCCATCCTTGTACACATCCAGTCTAGGAAGGGGCTAGTTGTTGGGAGCAGCACCCACGTTTGGAGCTTCTTATACTAGCATGCACCCTGCAGAGCAGTTAGTGGGGAGGCCGGGGAGGCTGAAGAACTACAGAGCAAGAGACAGCAAGAACAAACAGTGCTGAGGTGGAGGGAGAAAAGGTGAAAAGGTGATGGGGGTAGGGAAACCATGTCAGAGAGAGAGAGAGAGAGAGAGAGAGAGAGAGAGAGAGAGAGAGAGAGAGAGAGAGAGAAAGACAGAGACAGAGAGAGACAGAGAGAGCGCAAGCTGTTCTGGTTAGAATGTCTTATTTAGATAGGGGTTTGATGTGTTTTGAAAGAATAGAAAATTTCTGTATGCGTCCAGATAATAGGCTGAGGCAGTATTGGAAAGAGCAGATATCCTTTTACAGGTTTCCTTTGTTTGTTTGTTTGAGTGCATGAAAGTCTCTGTGTAACTCTATGACACATGTGTGAAGGAGCCTGTAAAAGGCTGATGTGAGCCCTCCGACAGGGGTCCTGGGCACTGAACTCAGTCCCTCTACTACAGCAAAGCTACTCTTGTTGTTGTTTTCGAGATAGGGTTTCTCTGTGTAACAGTTCTGGCTGTCCTGGAACTCGCTTTGTAGATCAGGCTGGCCTGCATCTGCCTCCTGAGTGCTGGGATTTCAGGCATGCACCACCACTGCCTGGCCAGCAGAGTCTTTCTTAACTGCTGAGCCATCTCTCCAGTCCCAAAGGTCTTTTTAATGAAGTCTTCTGAAGGATTTGTTGCCAATTTGTGGTGCGTCCTCTTAATATCTGAGGAAGATCAGGGTATAACCATTATTATCACCTGCCAGAATAGGACTCAGCCATCAATAAATTTATTGGAGGCCTGACTCTCAGTAGTCTACCCTGAAGCAATACGTGGTTACAGGAAAGATTATAAACTAAGATTACCTGAGCACCACTCAAGACCAGATCATCCAGAGGAAATGCCGAACGTTCCAACCGCTGTTGATAGGATCACCTGCTAGCACACTCACCAGGACACCCCTAGACAAATGTCAGCCAATCAGGAGTTCTGAACCTCAGAAACCCCTCACCCTCACCTTTACTACTATAAAAACCCAACTCTAACTGAGCCCGGGGCTCTTAGTTTATTCCAATACGTTGGACTGTGGAGAGACTGAGTTTGCAAACTTGTGTAAAATAAAGGCTCTTTGCTTTTACATACAGGACTCAGTCTCCTTGTTGACTTTTGGGGGACTTTGTGGATTTAGGCATAACATTGGATAAGACACATGTTAAAGCTAATAAAGCTACTATTGCTAGGACAAGAGCAACACCTGCTAGGATAAGAATTCTATTACAGTAATTCATAGGGTTGAATGATGCTATAGTATGCTATAGGCCTTCTATAATATCCATTCCTGTCGTATCAGGTAACTTTTTTGCAAAAGTTTCTTTAATTTCTTTCTGTAAAGCATAAACCATTTGAGAAGAATTAGGGCAACCCATTAAATGCATCTTTTTTAAAAAATATTTTTATTGATATTTATTTAGCTATATATTTTTCTCTGCTCCCCTCCCTGCCTCTCCCCTCCTCCCTCAATCCTCTCTCAAGGTCCCTGTGCTCCCAATTTACTCAGGAGATCTTTTCTTTTTCTACTTTCTACTTCCCATGTGGATTATATCTATATAAGTCTCTCTTAGTGTCCGCATTGTTGTCTAAGTTCTCTGGGATTGTGGTTTGTAGGCTGGCTTTCTTTACTTTATGTTTAAAAACCACCTATGAGTGAGTACATGTGATTATTGTCTTTCTGGGTCTGGGTTACTTCACTCAAAATAATGTTTTCTAGCTCCATTCATTTTCCTGCAAAATTCAAGCTGTCATTATTTTTTTTCTGCTATACAGTACTCCATTGTATAAATGTACCACATTTTTCTTATCCATTCTTTGATCGAGGGGCATTTAGGTTGTTTCCAGGTTCTGGCTATGACAAACAATGCTGCTATAAACATAGTTGAGCATATGCCCTTGTGGCACGGTTGAGTATCCTTTGGATATATATTCAAAAGTTGTATTACTGTGTCTTGAGGAAGGTTGTTTTCTAATTTTCTGAGAAATCACCATACTGACATCCAAAGAGGTTGTACCAGCTTGCATTCCCACCAGCAATGCAGAAGTGTTCCTTTTTCCCACAACCTCTCCAGCATAAGTTGTCATCACTGTTTTTGATCTTGGCCATTCTTACAGGTGTAAGATGAAATCTCAGAGTTGTTTTGATTTGCATTTCTCTGATGACTAATGATGTTGAACATTTTCTTAAGTGTCTTTCAGCCATTTTAGATTCCTCTGTTGAGAGTTCTCTGTTTAGGTCTGTACTCCATTTTTTTTATTGGGTTATGTGATCTTTTGGTGTTCAATTTCTTGAGTTCTTTGTATATTTTGGAGATCAGACCTCTGTCTGATGTGGGGTTAGTGAAGATCTCCATTCTGTAGGCTGCCGTTTTCTCTTGTTGACCATGTCTTTTGCATTACAGAAGCTTTTCAGTTTCAGGAAGTCCCGTTTATTAATTGTTTCTTTCAGTGTCTGTGCTGCTGGGGTTATATTTAGGAAGTGGTTTCCTGTGCCAATGCGTTCAAGTATACTTCCCATGTAGTAATAAGAGCGGCAGGGCTGCGTCCCCAGCACCCTGGCCGCCTGGCTAGCTTATGCCCTGAAATAACAACACACGAACTATATTTATTTAAACACTGCTTGGCCCGTTTCTATCTAGCCTCTTCTAGGCTAACTCTTGCACCTGGACTAGCCCATTTCTAGTGTAGCCCACGAGGTGGCTTACCAGGGAGATTCTAGCCTACATCCATCCTGGGTCGGAGCTTCATCGCGTGTGCCTCAGAGAGCAGAGCTCTCGCGTCCGCCCTGGAGATGGGAGCATGGTGTCTCTCTCCAGAGAGCAGAGCTGTCGAGTCTGAGCTCACTTCCTCTTTCTCCCAGCATTCTGTTCTGTTTACTCCATCCACCTATGTTTTAACCTATGAGGGCCAAGCAGTTTCTTTATTGCTTAACCAATGAAATCAACAGATTGATATATGACACTCCCACATTCCCACTTTCTCTTCTATGAGGTTTAGTGTGGCTGGCTTTATGTTGAGGTCTTTGATCCATTTGGACTTGAGTTTTGTACATGGTGATAGATATGGGTCTATTTTCATTTTTCTACATGTTGATATCCAGTTATGCCAGCACCACTTATTAAATATGCTTTCTTTTTTCCATTTGATATTTTTTGTTTCTTTATCAAATATCAGGTGTTTGAAGATGTGTGGATTGATATCCGGATCTTTTATTTGATTCCGTTGGTCCTCCTGTCTGTCCTTATGCCAGTACCAGGCTGTTTTCAGGACTGTAGCTCTGTAGTAGAGTTTGAAGTCAGGAATTGTGATGCCTCCAGAATTTCTTTTATTGTACAGGATTGTTTTGGCTATCCTGGATTTTTTGCTTTTCCAAATGAAGTTGAGTACCATTCTTTCGAGGTCTTTGAAGAATTTTGCTGGGATTTTGATGGGCATTGTGTTGAATCTGTAGATTGCTTTCAGTAAGATTGCCATTTTTACTATATTAATTCTGCCAACCTAAGAGCATTGGGAGATCTCTCCCCTTTCTGGTATCTTCTTCAATTTCTTTCTTCAAAGATTTAAAGTTCTTGTCATACAAGTCTTCCACTTGTTTTGTTAGAGTTACTCCAAGATATTTTATGCTTTTTGTGGCTATTGTGAAGGGTGTTGATTCTCTGATTTCTTCCCCAGCCCTTTTATCATCTGTGTACAGGAGGGCTACTGCTTTTTTTGAGTTAATCTTGTATCCTGCTACATTGCTGAAAGTGTTTATGAGTTGTAAAAGTTCCTTGGTAGAATTTTTGGGATCACTTATGTAAACTATCGTATCATCGGCAAACAGTGAGAGTTTGACTTCTTTTCCAATTTGTATCCCCTTGATCTCCCTTTGGTGTCTTATTGCTCTAGCTAGGACTTCAAGAAGTATATTGAATAGATACGAAGAGAGTGGACAACCTCATCAAATGCATCTTAACCTTATCCCAATCATACTTGCTTTCATTAAATCTTAAGGGTGTAGTACAGTAGGAAGAGACATTCCAATCGCATTTTAATTTTATCTGTTTTTCAAAATTTCTAACTGATCCCCTAACAATATGACAACTTGCCTTAACTCAGTTAATTCACTCACTGTCTCATTACCAATCTTGTTTTGTTCAGTCCAAAGTTCTGTTGAATGTTCTTGCCACTCTAACGAATTCAGCAGTTTGGGTTTCCTTATGAAGTGTCACTGCAGCTATTGCTGCTGTAGCCGTCAATGCAACGATTCCCATAATAACTGCAATAACCAGTCCAACCATTTGACCTGTTCTTTTCAATGTTCTCTCAGTGAGCTTCTGCAGCAGGACCATCACAGGGAGAGCCTTGCATGGCTTTTGACAACCTCACTGGTAACCAGATTGCTGGTCTT